CTATCTATCTATCTATCTGTGACACACACACACACACACACTCCTACCTTAGATATTTCTGAAATTATTTTCTTGAGTCCCCGATTTTCAAGAAACGGGAGGCTAACCCCCCCTTACCTTTTTCCCGAAATCCGGTTTTTTTTGCCGCACTGAGAAAGGGGTACCAGTGACGGGCTACCCACCCTGCAATGAAATTCTTCTTCCATAAACTTGAATTGGAAACGGGGACCGACCTTCGGACCAGGAGATACCACCATCTAGAAGGCTGATATGCAACGACCCAAACAGGCGAGACACACTACCTAGATAACCAAGGTAATCGACGTGCTCAGCCTCCAAGATCTGAATAGTAGCCTACAACGAAGGCCGGGTAAGAGCGGAATCCGTTGTAGCCTACTGCTTCTACTCTATGCTGACCTATCGCGTGTCATGCCAGCTGTTGTTTTGGCGTGGGCTTCCTGTGCCCTCTACATGCATGGCGTTACCGGCGCTTCTGATGTAATCTTGGCGGTCATGGGAAAGCGCGAGTAGTGATGTTTGCTCCCAGCCGTCTTCGGTACTCATGGCTATGTCGACCACGGAGGAATACCTCCCATCAGTGAATGAGATGCTTCATGATGAGGTGCTCCTCGAGGAAGCATTTTTGTGCACGGTAAGTCTGGTTGACGAATGGTTTAGTAAGTGCCAGCTGAGTTTGGGCCTTGAACTCACCTCTTGGTGTATATTATTTGTTACTTCGTGGTGTGTGAAACTATCCACCCAGAGTGACCCAGGCGATCATGGATGAGTGTGCTTTTTTGTACATCTCCCTCTGATGAGCTGTCATAAGTGGCATTCAGCGAAAAGCTAGCTTTAGGGACTTCACCGCTAATCCCCAGCCGCTCCATCCCGCTCTCCTTTCTTCATCGCCCTACCCGTCGTGTGGTAACATTGTGTGAAGCCTTATGGAGGTGGTTTCAAGTTTGCATCCCCCCCCCCCCCTACGGTCTAGTCACTGGATGTTTCTAATCGAAGGTTGCATTTCTCATGGCTAGTTTTTTGCGATGTATCACTGTCCCTGTTGTATATTGTCTTTTGCGTCCATTTATGTGGATTGGCATAGGAACAATTTTCATGCATGAAGTGGCTGTGAGGTTTCCAATGGATCCAAGCGTGTCATTCCTTCAGTGCACCATTAATTTGGATTGTGGAAAGATGGGGAGAAGGAGCTGCTCATGATGATGAAGGACCGTTAATTGCTGGGTTTTCGAGGGTTAGGGATGGTAACTAGGTGAATGACATAGGCAAGGAGGAGCTTGTTGCTCTGGAAGGAGGTGGCCTGTGATAGATAGTTGTTATGGGAAGAGAACGTGTGGCGCTCTGTCCGTAGTGTATGCTTTCTTGTGTGGGAGACTAGGGTAAAGGAGTAAGGAGTTTTCCGTTGAAGTCATCCTTGGGAAATCAGATACAGTCTCTGTAAGAACTGATGATGAGTGCTCGAGTAAGCGAATTGGGTGCTTCGTTTTCAAACAAGGGTTTCTGGTGATAAATCTTTCGGATTCGGGCTGCAAGGGAAGCGAGTCAGACATGGAGGGTAATCCTATGTCTACCCTCTGGGCATTTGCTGTTCAGAATCCTACGAAAAGTCGTGAATTACCCTCATAACCGGAGATTTTTCACCACACATGGTCTGATGATTTCTTTTTCAGGAGTTAAATGAATGTGGGTTTGCTGCCTTTTCAATCTCTGCATGATCTACGAGTTACCTTGCTATCTGTTTAAACTGGTCATTCTTCGGAGTAGTTTAAGCTATATGGTAGTCTTTGTGTGAACCGTATCCGGATCCTATACGAATATTCTTAACACCTGAGTGCCATCCTCTCCTCACTCTTTGGTTTGTATGCATGCAATCTGGTATGGAGTTGACGACTGGGGCATATAATACACACAAACATCACACACACACACACACACACACACACATACACACACACACACACACACACACACACACACACACNGATGGCCTTGAGGTATTATCATCGGACTAACCAGCCCAGGTAAATTCAATCTTGTGTCTAATCTGACAATGGTGGCCTTGACAATGTGAGCCTTCGAAATATTTTTTTTTTTGTTTTTGAGTAAGTTTTCTTGTTTGCCAATCATATTCCAAGATTTGTCGACAAGTTGTGCTCGATTGATGAGTCAGAAAGAACGAGGGCAATGATCGAGGAGAGGGTGGCTGCGGGCTCACGGACGTGGCTACCGTCTTCACCCGAATAACACGCTCCGTTATTATAGATGTATTCGGGGCATGTTTCTGGGTGGAGACGTCAAACGCGGAAACGCGCAAAAGCGCACAGTCTCTGCATGACACGTACTGTGAACGGAGTGTGCCGCAACAGTGGCATTGACTTCTTAACCAGAGTTCTTTTTTTCCTGGTTTTTTTTTTCTTTTTTAATGTTTTTGACATCTAAATCAAGTGTGGCGCAACAGTGCAAGAAGGCAACAGTGTCATTCACTTCCCTAAATGCGTGGGACAGCAATTACGGCCCGACCTGGATGAATCTGACCGCATGGACGTCCAGAGCTTAGCAGAAAAAAAGGTGCTATTGTGAGTATGCCCTTCTCCTTCAACTACAATCGTCCGGCCCAAACACAACGCTCCCTCCTCATGAATGTAGACAACCTATCTTTCTGGTCGCGTACAGCCATGATGAGCGTACGCTTTGCTAAGGGGGAAACGATACAGGGTTATCGCCAGATGTCATCACCCCTACCGCTCGAAATATTGACGAGGGGGAGCGCTGTTGTTGCTTTTCCCTCTCGCTGGCCTCCAGCCTCGCTTGAATGGATGTAGATGGATAAAGCCTTTTTTTTTTTTTTTTTTTTTTAATATATAAACATTT